AAATTATGTAAATATTATAGCATTTTGTAAAGCTTAGCTCTAGTTTTTGTCACAATAAACACTCCTTTTTGTCTTCATAATAATCATAATCATAATTATAATAATAATAATAATAATAATAATAATAATAAAACAGTTCCAGCTACATATTTTTTAAACTTTTCTAGGCTGTAGTTTCTAGCGTCCATAGATAAACCGCTCCAAGCATGTACTCCTCTGTACTGGAAAGATCTTTCTCCTGTCTTAGAAGATAGCTTAGATATCGACAAGTGTCCATTTGTGGCTGACCTTGTGATGTTCATTAGAGTTCAGGTGTCTCACAGAAATAAGTCCCAAAGCTTGTTAAAATATTCCAAACTAGCATTACAAAAAAAAAAAAATAAAATATATGCAACACTTTCACTCATCTTGCAGTAAAGAGACCTTAAACTGAGGGAAATTGGTGAGTGCAAGAGGAAAATCATCACTCTGCTGGATACCTGGTTTATGTTTAGCATAGCAATTTTCCACTTGCGCTCACTGCCTACCCTCAGCATAGTGGCGTTAACGCGGCCATAAGTAAAGTGTGACAAATATTTTATTGTAGTGCTAAATGGGAAAATTAAGCATGCTTGGGAAAAATCGTCAGAAAGCAATCGCTTGTTTTATGAATTCATGATATACAGAAATGCACAATAGCATGGTGATTCTACACATAATCATGATAAAGGCAACAAACAACTTGATTGAAAATCAGTGCAATATTTTCGTGAGTTGAGGATGAAAATTAGTGACCTTAAAATGTTTCAGTTAATTTGAAACTCCAGGATTACAGCCGTATGTTGAAAATGGATTAATCTCATTGAGGGCCAAGTCTATTTCCCACCCAATTCAATAATATTTTTGACAAAAAGCAAAATAACACCCCACACCAGATGATATTCAAGGCGATGTTTCTGAAAATCAAATGGAGCGATTTCTCTGAGATTTTGACGCAAGATTTAGATGTTATAAGATTCATTTAAGACCAGAATACACTGTACCATGTTTTGTCACATCCTGTGGACATAGTTTGCAATAACATTTTAAAACAGCTTTGTTTTTGTTGTATTTTGACACCTTGAAACTTCATCAGCGATTTTCTCCAAAATGCTCTAACTTATACATGTACAATACATGTAATATGTTAAGTACCCTATAGCGTATAATTTTAGTGTCAGTCTTGTAAATTTAAGTCAGCGAAAAGCTACAAGTACTCCAAAATTGGACATTTAGCTTCCTTTGCCACAGTAAGGATGAAAGAAAGGTAAAGATCAGGCAATGATGAGTGTGAGAATGATGATGAATTAGGAATTTATTCTCTGTATTTGCTCGACCAATACATGACCAATCGCATGCAACAGGTACACTATGGAAATGAAAATCAATGGTAAACCGGTATGATGGAGTTAGACACAGCTGCAGATTTCTTAATAATGAGTAATTGTAGTGAATATCTGGAGAAGTTTGCAGATAAGCCTCTGACTCCTTCAAAAGTAACACTGAAAGACATACACAAGTGAAGTAGTTGATGTGTCGGGCAAAATCTAAATGTAGTGTGACAAAGTGTACAAGGGTAAACAATACTCTCTACCCATTCTTGCAGCTACATGACGCTAAACATGTACCTTCCTTGGAAAAAACTGGCCAGCACATTAAGTTAGAGTGGGATGGGATATTGTGTATTCCTAAGGGAGACCCTGTGAGTGCTGATAGTCAACTGAATGATTTGCGGTCTAAATATAGTAAATTGTTTAGTACTGAAAGTTATGAAGGTATGAAGGGCATTGAGGCACCTATTACCATCAGAGGTGACACAAAACCTGTATTTAGGAAAGTGCATAGAGTTCCCTATGCATTAAAAGACCAAGTTGAAGGGGAGTTAGACAAACTCAAAAAACATAAGATCATAAAGAAACCTGACAGGTCGTGTTGGGCTAGCCCCTATTGTGGTCGTGCCAAGGGCTGAGAGCGCTGTTAGAATTTGTGGAGAACAAGCCAACTATCAATAAGTCTGTTGAAGATAAGCAGTATGTTTTACCTACAACTCAGAATTTGTGTACTGCACTAGTTGGTTCTAAGGAAGCTTGATCTATCACATGCTTCTGCCCAGCTGAATGTTGACCAAAAAGGCAAGAATACTTGACAATTACTACTCACAAAGGCCTTTATTCCTACTTAAAATTGCCCTATGGGGTCAAGTCATCTCCAAAAATATTTCAAGCAAAGATGGATCAAATTCTTCACAGGAAAATAATGAGAAAATAATGTGTTTGTAAACAGGATGACATCTTAATAGGAGGAAATGACTGGCAGGAAAATCTCAATACTCGCAGATGTATTGGACAGGTGACACAAATACAATTTGCCTTTAAAATTACCAATTGAAAATGTGAATTTTTGGAAACCTGGAGTGGTCTATCTAGGCCTGAGAATAAGTGCTGAAGGTTTGCAACCAGTGGAGGAGAAGATCAATGCTGCAGTAAAACAAGCCCCAGCCCCACAAAATGTGAGTGAACTAAGGTCTTTCCTGGGCATGGTCCAGTATTACCATTACTTTTTGCTTGGGCTAGCTACAACTTTAGCACCTTTGTGACGCATCGAGTTATCGTGTGGTGGTAGTACTTAGTCATGTAATGGAGGATGACCAAGAAAGGCCGATAGCGTATGTGCTTTACACACACTTAGCTCAAGTGAGAAAAGTTACGCCCAAATCAAACGGGAGGCCTTGTCTATCATTTTTGGGGTAAAAGGTTCCATCAGTTTCTATATGGAAGAAAGTTGTTCACTTTAGTGACTAACCACCTGTCATTGTTGGCTATTTTGGGCCCTAAAGCTGTCATACCGGACTGTCCCACACTTGCAGCTGCCTGTATGCAGTGTTGGGCAATTGTCATTTCAGCATTTGACTATCAAATTGAGTACAGGAGCTCTGAAAAGCACAGCAACTGTGAAGCACTCTCCAGATACCCGTCAGCATGAACTTTCTTGTGAACAAAATTGCATTCTTTGGGGCTCCAGGGTGATCATTCCCCAAGTAGTTAGTGAAAAGATGTTAAAGGAGTTGCACTAGGAGCACTCACGCATTTGTGCAATGAAAGCAATAGCATACACCTGTGATTGGTGGCCTAAGGAGGATGAGGAAATTGAAAGAGAGAGAAAATTATGCTCAGTTTTGTCAGAATGTACAGGGCTCTTCACCTAGTGCCCCTTTGATACCATGGAAATGGGTCACGCAACCCTTTCAGCGTATTCATATAGATTTTTGTCAGAAGGGCAGTGACTATTTTGGTGGCGGTTGACAGTCACTCCAAATGGATAGAGTACATTAGATAGTAGTACAGCACATGACCTTAATTACCACAGAGAAGACTATAAGTGAGTTGCGTCTTATATTTGCCCAACACGGGTTGCCAGAGGAATTGGCATCAGATATTGGGCCACAATTTGTTTGAAATGAGTTTGCTGAGTTTATGCACAAAATGGCATCAAACACACTCTAACTCCTCCTTACCACCCACAATAAAATGGTGCAGCTCAAAGAACAGTCAGAATAGTAAAGGAGACGCTTGTCAAACAGGTTCTAGAAACTAGAGTAGGTCTATCAAACATAAACAAGCAGATTTTCTTTTAAGATATCGTACCACCCCACACAGCACCACAGAATTGAATTGTTGATGAGATGTTGCCTGTTTAAGTCTAGTGAAACCTGATATATAGCTCAAACAATGGAGACTAAACAGAATAAGCAGAAGGTATCTAAGGATTGAAAGAGTCATCAAGTTAGGCTGTTTGTAGAGAATGACATAATTCGAGTGAGAAATACTGAAGGCAGTTACTTTAGTAATACTGAGAGGTGGATTCTGGGAAGGGTAATTAAGGTCTATGGACCCAGAACTTATTAGAGCCAAATTAATTGACAATATATTACAGTGTAAAATTTTTTTTCAATTTTGCCATCGTTTAGACAAGTATTTCAGCTCGTAGATCCCAACATAGGTAAGGTAGGTAAAGTCTGCATACAAGCCAAGTGGCTCATCAGGCTCAAGTTTATCCCAGTTTCAGTACACGTAGCATGAGGCAGCTAGGAGTATTTCTACTCCCCCCTGGATAGGATGCTAGTCCAACGCAGGGTTACCCACAGCATTAAATTCACTGGTACCCATTTAGACACCTGGGTGGAGAGAGGCACTGTGAGAGTAAAGTGTCTTGCCTAAGAACACAGCACAATGTTCCTGGCCAGGGCTCAAACACATGCTGTTGGCTCCGTAGTCGAGCCCACTAACCATGAGGCCACCACCAATTTCCAAAATTATCCCTTGATGATAAGTTATTAATTTGGTCTCATGTAAAATGAGGTATGATGTCATAATGTTGCTAATTGGTAACTAGGATCTTGGTAAAACATACCTCATTTGAAACTTTCATCTTTCTCTAACACATCACTATTCAGTACAAAAGTCTTGACAAAACAAACTGTGTTATCTGCTGGATAGCATTATCCACCTTAATAAGATTTTAAACATCTGGAAAAATAGGAAACTAACCTTAATTGGCAAAATAAACATCGTCAAAACTCTAGCTTTATCAAAAT